AACATAAAATGAAAGCCCCCCCCCCCCCCCCCCCCGCGCACACGGGTAGATAGGACAGGAAAAACATGATTTAGCCACCTTTGTAGGAAGGAACGATTGGCCATCGGTGATCGGGTCTGTGGGAACAATGCTCCATCCTCTCCAGGACGCGTGGTCAATGGTCTAAAACTACGGTATGCAAAACATGAGGACACTCCCCCCGCCCCCCGGGAACACAACCGGTACAAAATACTATTCGCAAACCACACGTAGTTTGCGGTATCTCACCCGCAGAGCCCTACACAGGGCGTCGGCATCGATTTCCTGTTCTTGTGCATCCACCCCAGCAGCGCATCTCTGTCGGACCAACTCATCTGCCCTGCTCTGGCTTGTTCAAGGGTGCTCCGTAGCGCGAGGGCGAGGGCGGCGGCATCCCTACTCTCCGGCTGTAGGGGATGGAGAGATGTGGCGGGGGGGGGCGGGGGGGGAGGAACGGCCGCAGAACGCATGAAAGCTTTGCTGAAGTTGTAGGCAAGAACAATAGGGCATACAAACGACTTAGTATAGCTGAGCCAAAGGGTTTGGTGGGGCACTGGAGCTGCTCTGCTTTGGGCGGATTCTCCAGAAGTCGTTCACAAGCACACACAAAAAAAAAACACACCTCGTGTCTTTTTCTTTATCGTCTGCCTACCTTAGCGTACATAATGAGCAGGTTATACCATGATCTTGTCTCCGTGTGACACAAGCAATAGAAAAAAAAATTCCGCCCCTCATCGGGACTACGCACAGGGCGTCGCGCAAACCGTGCCGGGTCTTCCAACCGGTGGCCTTGTACGCAAAACGTTGCTGATGGGGCGGCATTACCGTTTCCAAGAACGCCTCTGCCCTACGTTTAACTTGTTTCGGGGCGCCTACGCCAAAAGTATGCTGCTACCTCATGTATCTGACCCTCCAACGTGCCACGTCAGGTGCGTTCAAGGTGGGGTTTGGCGGCCTTCACGATAACTGAGTCAATGAGGAAATAGAACAGGGAGGGGGTACGCAGACCGTAATCCCTAACCCTAACCTTAGCCCAACTTCTCCGCTTGCATGCGTCATCCAATATGCTTATTGAATACAAGTAGAAAAACCTTGGGAAGGCTGCTGGTGGGGGTCTCGGGTTGCACATTATGAGACACAGTAGATGTCTACAGACGTTCGCAATTGGAAAAACGATACCATTATATCTCTCTCCAGCCCGGCCAACTTCTTGACCGAAGACGTGCAGCAGTGCATTGCGCTTTTTATACCATCCACGAAGCGCAGCTTTTGAACCCCTCCAAAAAGAGAGAAAAAACTACACAAAAGTTTAATCATAATCAGAAGAACGGGTTGTTGTTCACCTAAGAATCCTACACTACAACCTATATACTAAGTAGTCGCTGTTGGGATACCCTTACAGAGGGAAGGGAACGAGAAACGAGCCTAGGGCACGAGAAGAGTTTTCTTGGCTTAAGCGGGGGCGTTCTGTATGGATGCCATCAGATGGCGGTGCCCTTCTTTGTGGTCGTCGAAGAGTTCTACCGGGGGTATGGTAATTAACGTATTGACGCGCGAAATTTCGAAATTTCGGGTCGTGTGCACCAACAGCAATAGATCATGACCACAGCCTGTGACCACGGGAGTCGACCCCGTTAAGTGTTAGACTAGTACGGACAGAAGAAGGTTCTGGGCAGAGGGAATGGAACGGTTTCTAATGTGAAGACAACAACAACAAACATGGACGAAGTACGTGGAATGGAATACGAGAATGCTTCTTGTCAAGGACAGACCTAAGGTTCGAAATCTCTTTATGAAACAAGACGCGCTGAACAATACTCAGCGGCGGCGTCCGAATGGAGGAAAAGGGCCAACAGCAGCAGACAGCGTTTTTGTATTTATGTTTCCTAAGACAGCGGCGAATCACCCGCTGATTCCTGAAGCCATTGATTCAATAGTTGGATTTCCAGCATGCAGGTTGTAGGTTTTGGAACATAAAACCCGCATCATTTTTTCACAAACCACTGAAATACTACAGGTTCGAGGTATGTAATGATACGACGGCAGTCCAAGGGAT